TTTAGAAACATTTACACAGTATTGACAAATACATTTTTGTTTTGTTTGTTAAACTTAAAAACTTACAGATGTGAATAAATGAGTAGAAAATCCGACCAGAAGTGTCACTTGTGTAATCAGAAAATATGTACATGACCAGTTTATATCTTCAATAACTTCGTCAAATTACAAGCTAGGAAGCTGAGACCCTAAACCGAGTGTGCCATTAACATTGTCTTAACCCTTTCCCCCATGAGCATATTGTGAAAAATGGCCGTTTTCACTGAAAAGCCTCCTGTTACAAGTTCAAACTGCTATGAAACTATGAAAAATGCTTCAATACTTATCAAACTTGGCACAAACGTTGACTGGACCATTGCCTTTGTAACGACATGCTCAGTCTTAAATTTCCTGTTACCATGGCAACGAGGGCACATCTCAAAATTGCCAAAAATCACAATTTTGCCTCGATTTTTTCCATAAAAATTTATTACAAAGTGCTGCTGCTTCTCAAAGATTTGAGATAGAGTCAAAGGCTTTTCAGCGTTGGTTACACGTTACCTTATGATCGACCTGGGGTCATTTTGAGCCTCTCACAAGTCCAAAATTTTCTTGGCGATGAGGGGGACTCCGCCCCCTTCAAACCACCAAACAGAAGGGGGGCACATCCCCCTTCTGGCAACCCCCTGATGTATCTTTTGGATAGGGGGCGGCGCCGAAAAAGTGCTCACTTTTTTGAGTAACATTTCTAAAACGAAAACATGTGTTTGGGGCCCAAATAGGACATTTTTTCACTATTTCAGGCCTAAAAAAGGGGGCGGGGGTCGAAAGTGCGTTGTTTCGCGTATATAGGAGGTAAGGGGTTAAGGAATTAATGAGCTGATTAAAAAAATCAGAATAACATACAAACCCAGTTACTGCGAGCGTTGTAAATTTTCATTATTTGGTTTAAACGCCATCAGTTCCTAAGCCTGTACATTATTTACCTTAACCGGCGAGTCAAATACTTTCTTAAGATCAACATGTACCAAAAGTTTCATAGTTTACACTTAATACAAATTCAACGATCTTTGCATATTACATAACTGTGGCTTCTATCGCCAAGTTATATATCCCTTTCAACACATTGAAAATAGATATGGGTATGCTACTCGTATTTCGGCAAGTATTATATTTATTTTACTTGAATATATTGTATACATTTTAGTACATGATTTCTGTGGCGTCAACATTTTGAAGTGATTTCCCTTTTCATCACAATGAAAATAGGACCTGTTGTTCTCCTATTGCTAAAAGTCTGATAAATCTTAGGTTTTAATTGTAACAATTCAGCCATACAATACTTATGTAACGTACATGGGCATGATCTTGGCAAGTTACATAACTGCTGTATCAATTTTCCTTTTCAGACTTTTGATTGTTCTACCTGTACAAATGACTTCATATTATACACATTTACACACTTATACAATAAACTATTATCTTGACAAATGACAAAACTGTGGTATCCATTTTATCAACCATTCTTATTGATACAGTAACAACAAAAATATAAATACTCTTTTAGTATGATGCGTCAACACAATTCTTATGATCTTGGTAAGATACATGATATTTATTTTTTTTATCTTTTTCACCTATGTGCTCTTTTTAAATAGATATAGTATACTAATGAAAGTCAATCTGATGAATTATAAAGTGTATCCTGTAAAGTACAAACTTTTTTTAATTCATAAAAAACAATATGTCCATTATGCTTGTATGAGAGACATGTTTGTGTATATATTATTCAGAGTAATGACACATGCACGAACTATTTGCTTAACTAAACATAGCAGTTTAATATTTCATTCCGATACGTTTTATTTTGTTTAAATAACTTATTTAGTTGTATTAAAAACAATTTAGACATCCGGTTTTTTGAACTCTTTCATTTAAGACCATAATGTTATGGAAACAACATAAATTTACCGTATATAAATTGTATAAAACATTCATTGGAAATAAATTTATATAACTAACCGGTACATAAGCATATATTCCTGGTACTATTTTATTGCACCATGGAGTCTATGACATCTAGACCCCTTAACACCCCGACCTCTTGACACCTCGACCTCTAAGACATCTCGACCCCTGACACTTAGACCCCTAAGACACTTAGATCCCTTAAATATAACTGACATTTCGACACCTTAATTAATGTATTGTTATATTAGGAAAGACCGTGCATTTTTAAAAATAAAACATTAAGTTATGGCTAGGTTTGAACATTTTCAGCCATTTATTTATTATTTATGTATATTATTTACCAAAACAGTAACACAAATAAATATGCATGTACACACATTACATTGAAAAAACAATACATAGAATACGCAGACACTATCACTCTCTTTAGCGAACGACGCCAGCTTCCGTGACCAATTGTAGATTTATGTACGCTAGCTTTGCGTCTTTCAATAGTAACGTGAGAACAAAATAGAAGGGAATCACGCCTCGACCAGCCTGGCTATTAAGACGTCTATGCCACAACGTATAGTCAATATAAGCAAACGAAACAAAAACAGTTTACATTAAAATGTGCACAAAAATTCTCCAATGTCTTTATATTTTATTTTTGCGTCACAATTCAATCATAAGGTTTTATTTAGAATGATTGACGACATTATCTGTTTAAAATTAAAATATTATTTTACTTTTACTAATTACTTATTCACTCGTTTTTCATATTAACAAGATAACAAAAATAGTGCATTTTTTCTGTAAAGTTGTTGGTACGAACAGTCTCCAATACCTGTATTATAAAATATTTATATTGATATACTGAAATATGATGAACTGCAATTTAGTTAAATAAATTCAAGTAAATTTCATTCATATTAGGAATAATAAATTGTTGATATTACAACAGCAATGTAGTCTTGCTTCCGCCGACGAGACACCGTAACGAAACGAAGCGGTTCCGAAATTGAATGATCAACGGAATTGTCATGAACAGGCGTTGCTTGATCTGAAGGAGCGTCACTGCAAATACTACAAGTGAACTGTACGACGCTTAGAAATTCTACTGATACCTGCAAAATACAAAGTTTTCATCTTATAACAAATTTGTAAAAAAAATAGTGTTTGAAATCATTTTTTGTTCAATAGGATTGTAGTATACAAATAGATCGTAACACATTTACTTTGGTAAACCGGCAAACTGTTAAACAGTCTAGTAAATGGACTGTTGATAAAAATAATTTAAAACACTAAGCCGGTTAAAATTTATTAGTACGTATTTACTCCTTACCAATTTAATTTTGTAAATACGTACTAATAAACTTTAACCTATACTAAAGTCAGGTTTTATTGAAAATACATGTATTATTCTAATGACCGATAATTTGATTATTTAACGGCACGCGCCGGTGTTTATCCTATCACGTGTCACTGATTAAACACATACATGTATGACGTCAAACCAACGCATGGGAGATGTATGATGATAACTTATTAAGGTCATTTTCATTTTTCTGTGGTCATAATACAACATGTATGTATGAATGTAATTAAATGAGTATCAAAAATAAATCCTTTATTATTTAAGTATTTTTATAGCACGCTCTTTTTTATTTTCACCATTGCAAAAACGAATTTTAATTGCTTTTGTAGTGAGTCATGTATATGTTTTGTAAATGTCTGACAGATCAAGTCAATAAATATATCTTCAACAATATCATTAACCTAAAATTACTGATAGTTTTTTTTTTCAAAAGTGAACTATGGGGGTCAACTATCAACTTCCGTAAATTATTACGCACTCAATTATTACATTTCCGTAAACTATTACACACAATTCAATATTTCATTTAGTATAAACGTTCATTGCAAATGTAGCATTATTATGTTTTACAAAACAATAAACTGAAGTTAACATTTTTTTGTAATTTTTAAAAGATAAACAAATAATTGTTACTTAATGCGCTAATGATGAAATTATAAATAAGCACCATTACATTAAACCACGGGACATTTTAATCTGATTTTTGTCCGTAATTAAACAAATGAAAACTGATTTGTGTATTAATCAACAAAATTAAATTTTAAAAAATGTAAATTTTGCAACTGATATTTAAAATACCCATATAAATTTAAACAAAAGACTTGGATATTATATATATGTCTTACAATATTTTCAAAATATATTTACTGTTCTTTTAAAGCCCAACATTTAAAACAGGGGTCGAAGTGTCTTAGTCAGTAGGGGTTGAAAAGTCATCTTACAAGAGGTCTAAGAGTCAATGGGTCTAGATGTCATCTTAATATGCTAAGGGGTCGAGAAGTCAAGGGGTCTTGATGTCTTACTTGCGCACTATGACGTTTATATAAGCTATATACTATATACTATCATAATATACGGCTGAAATTATGATGTTTTTTTCGTGTTTACCTCTGAATTGTTCTTTGTAATGAACTTTTTATCAAGATTGTTGACAGGCTCTGTGAACGTATACATGTATAAACGATTGTTTACAATATAACCCTCGCCCAGCGACTTGGATTTTTTATACAAAAAGTTGGGCAAAATAACCTTCGCAAAATTCTATGTAACTTTAAGTATTAAAGCCACGACCCTATCTCGCCAATAACATAACTTTGAAACATCCTTTTTCAATTTTCTCTCGTATCACCTTTTACTTTTATTTGTGAGTTGAATATATTTTCAACTCAACCAAATATCGATGACCAGCCAACACACACAAATGGTCACGACTCAGTCAAGCTTTTTAACAACTTTTTAACATTTTTCATTCACAAAACAACAACATACAAACAAACATACCCACCTACGAATAAAAAAACCAGAAAAAACACCACCAAAACGATATTATGACTGCAAGGGTGTATATTTTACCATTAGAGAAAAGATTATTCGCTCTTAATACTCACATATTGCTTGTAGTAAGTACGCATATGTGAAATTACATGTTTATATCACAATATCTTTATCACGAGATACGATATCTTCTAAATAAATGATATGGGGATTTTCTCCGGGATTGTACTTTCTTTTCCGTTATTTATTTTTCAAAAATGAATTGATTTTATTATAAATATAGGGGTAATTTAAAGAATCATTATTTTGAGATATACCACCTCTGCTTGTTGTATTGTAAGTATTACTTTTCTACTATCATTATTTTTTTTCGCTTTTTGTTTCCTTTAACTGCTGGAACCGACAACGATTAGCAATGATTTATAGAATATCACACTAATCTTGATATTGAAATTAAACGAATATTCAAATATTCTACACAGGTGCTCGGCACTTTGATTTGTCACTACTCACAACCCCCTCTAATACAAAAAACATCAAAACATCAAACACCACTAAAACGATGAACATTATGTCGGCATATTTTTACCATTAAGACCTAATTTAGAACTCGCTCTTTATAGTCACGTGTATATTTATGGTAGTACTTGAGAAAATACATACGTAAGTTAATAAATGTTTACTTCTCGAATCCGTCCCTGAAACCACAGAGCTATAAGCTTCGTAATATAATTAATCTTTCTTAAAGTGAGTACGAGGCAATACGTGAAAAATGTCTTACTCAATGAAACAACGGGGTAGCAACGGGGTATCAATTTCTCAATACCTATTGAGATGGTAGTATAAAAATGGGCTTTGTTAAGTTATAGAAATTTTCATTGTTATAAACTTTTTAATTCTTAATTATTTGACATAGTAAACACGAGGTAGTCCACTTTTAGATCTTTCACAAACACATCTCTAGTAGCTATCCATATACATGTACATATCGTTAAGAAACCAAAATATATTTAACCTATCTTTTGTCTATGTCACCCTTTACCTGGTAAATTTATGAGATGGTTTTGCTCTGCTATGGACTTGGAACAGTTCATTCAAAGTCTGAGAGATGAGTATTAGATATTTAATGTATTTGTACAATTGAGTTACCTGATTGAGCAAATGGTCAGTCTGTATGGCTGTGACCCGGTTATGTACTGATGGCCTCTTTTAGGGTCATTAGTCTTGTTAGTTTTGTAAACGACTATAGTGTAATGCCTAGCATACGCTCTTACGGCAGATTCATACAAGTTAACTATATAATAAACCCGAAGAGTAGTGTAAATCTTTACCACAAGGGTTATAATTTATTTGACCTTAGCAGAGGACAGTAAGGTTCATAATGCTTTTTTTGGCATTATAGTTTCTTAGTTAAATATCTTTTGAATACAAGTCACCTCCTTATATAAGAGAAAAAAAATTAAATAGATAATCCATTTTCACAAAAGTTCACCAGGCAAAGTACTACAGCCAAATATTTGTTTTGTTGGGTTTCACATCACGCAAACACAATAAAGGAGGACATATGGAGAATTTCAAGCTTTACAGGTGCATTATTTAAGGCATAAAATATACAGACACTTCTTCTCTTGATTGTTTTTTTTTTATTGTTTTTATATTCAATTTATTTGCAATGGAAGTTAATTGTTTTTATTTTCTAACAAGATTAGACGTTCGCAACATGTTTGCAAATAATAATTTATTTCAGGAAACAATCGTCAAGTTTGTCAAGATCTAATTATTATATATTTCTTAATAAGTTACGAAGAAAATACATTGGCTTTGTCACAAATAACTTGATTATATTCGCCGATAAAAGGCGTTAAACCTGTGAAACAGTTCAGTAACATATATGAAATAATCACATATTCCGGTGTTACCGCGAAGCACAATTCACGTATATCGGCGTTACCTCATAAAAACGGCTTGAATCTCATTTTATCAGCTTATTTCAATTTTCTATATCTATTCACGAGAAGCTTAGTAAATGTTACTTGGCTACCGAAAATCGAAATTATACGGTATAATATGCATTTGTGTACTTATAAGAGACGACAAAAAGCGAAAATCTCGCTCAAAACGGTGGTCAAGCCATCATTTTCACGAATGATCTTGAAAAGTAAACAATTTCGTGGAAATAATCTTCATGAGGGATAAAGAGTTATGTCTTCGCAGCCGTTTTCGGCTATTAATTTTTTCCAGTTTGATTAAATAAGAAATATATTGGCCAGATTACTTACCGCGTTGGAAATCCTGTCAGGTATCCGCCATTTATTGCACAATTCTGCGTTACTTATTGAACGAATCGTGCGTTATTTTCACATTCCGGAGTTACTGGATATACATGGTGGTCATTACTTGCGTTTTTAATTGGTCGTGTCTTTTATTTACATAGTACACTCTGCATGACGTAACTTCCCGTCAATTCCGTGCGGAATTAAGGATGTACTGCAGAAAGAAATATTTTAGAAACATTTCTTTTTTCAAACTATCACAAAAACATGTTGACTCTGAGTGATTTATTACTTAACGAGAATGGAAGGTAAAACACCTCTACAAAACATTGATGAAATGGGATATGATAAATAAAATTTTTGTTCAATTTTATAAAATATATATGGCGTGTTAAAATGATTTGTTTAAAAATTTTAATGTTTGATGGGACAAAACTCCCGTTGGTCTATAAAAAGAATGCATTCCACATTTAAAGGTAAATAAAAAGTAATTAAACGATATATATCTTTATCATATGAGCCGCATCAGTTTCTCTACTTGTAAAATTTTTGGGAAGCGAACAGCATGGATCCTGATCAGACTGCGCGGATGCGCAGGCTGGTCTGGATCCATGCTGGTCGCAAACGCACTACGTTGATTTTGTCGTGATGCGGCTCAAATGTCCGATACGTACATGCTATTTTAATATTAGGTTATATAAACTGATCATATAAATATGATCATGTTTCTGTTTATCACTGAAGGTAATTGTTTATTCTAATTTATAACCCTTTCTTTTTGTCATATATTTTCCCCCGAAAATTGTGATTATTATCAGATACCTTGATATGCGTAATGTTCAGCTATCATTATATCTTTTTAAGTTGGTCAACCTCGTCTTTTAAGTAAATATCATAATTTATGGGGGTATTTCAACCATTCTATTGTCAGACGCATCCTAGAATTTCATCTATGTAAGTATAGATTGTTTATTTTTATATGCTGAATGTCATTTTAGATTTTAAAAAGAGTTACTTAAACAAAGTGTACATTGCTTCTTTTTTGGTGAGGGAGGGGGTATTATAAAAGCCACGGATTTGTAACACGTGCAAAGGAAAATCAGATAACGTACGTAACCTTTTATGTAAAAATAAAAAAATATTTTAATTGACACAATAATTAATGGTAAAATTTAACAATGGTTATTAAGAAGAATGGAACACTGCTGTAAGATATATTCTAAATGTGTAAGATATATTCGTAAATGAAACTATCGCGTCTCGATAAATGAACTCGATTTCTAACACTAACATATACTCAGGTACTCAATTATATTTATAAATACTTGATAAATATGCAGAAAAATGTAAAAAATTATCATTATTTTATTTTTTATGGTGGTTGATTTACGCCATGTGTTTTAGCTTCTTTCCCTCCAAAATGCGAAAACACGAATGGACGACAGTTGATTTTCGAAAAAACCACAGGCAGGACGACAATACGACACGTTAAATCTGTCGTCTTTTTGCATATCATCTGTCGTATTTTTTCCTTTTCTCATTGTTGTATTTTAACTTGTTTGCATTGTTGTGTTTTCGCTTTTTTTTGCATTATTGTAGTTTTACATTTTTTGTATTTTGGCCTGATAATAAATGTGTCTAACCATAAACGAAATAACCATGTGATTGATAAAAAACATAAACTATGAACATTAATTTAGGGTACCTATTGCAGAACCTCCTTTCTGAACAGTATTATTCATTTTCAGTTTATTTCAGTTTAAGGGCGGGATAATTATCCGACTGCGAAGCATCCGAGTCTGATATGATTTTGAATAAGATGCATGATTTACTGCGGAAAGACGCGAATTATTTTGCGATTCGCCTACATAAAAACATTCACATACATCAGCATTACAGTTCATGACAAATTTTGATTTTCTGATTTTGCTGCAAAACATTTTTATTTACATTTTCTTCCGATGAAAAGACAATGTTTTCTAATCTGTGTATAGACATAATGGACTTTGCAAATATCTGTACCAAGATTTTATATCGTGGAACCAGGCTAAAATTAAATCATACGTAAACACGCTGCCTCCACCTAAAAGGGAACTGTTTCGCATTTGAACAAAACGAATTGATGTTAGAGCTGTTGCATTACATGTCAAAAAACATCTGAATTTTTCATTATATCCATTTGTTGACTTTTAGAAACAAGGAAACTAGTTTGTACCGTGCGGACATAGTTCTTGTTTCAAAAAACCTAAATAGACGGCTTATATATAACACTTGTGCTGGTTTATTTTGGTAAGATTTGATAACGGGTATGATGCCTTTAATATCTTATATACTACGTTTATTTTCGAATTTAATGTTTTATCGTTGGTCATTACCTTATTAAAAGTTTATTAATCGTTTCATAGGGACATAAATAATTATTGTTCAAGGCATTATGATTAACCATTACGAGCAACACTGTGTATACATGTATATATAAAATGTTTTATATCAGAATAAATATAAGGTAAATTGAAAACCCATATCTCTCAGATTAGACAAGACCCGATTGAACCGGCTGATGCTCCCCGAGAAAGATTTGAACACAGAAAAAGTATCAAAAAATGAGTTATATTTTTTTGTCACTGCACTTTTATTAAATGAGATCTATCTATCTATAAAGTTTCGTGATGATATCTCTTATAGTTTCAGAGTTATGTCCCGGGTAAAATTCAAAGTGTAAAAATGAACAAAGGGCAATAACTTCAAAATAAGGAAAGTGCTATGGTTCTTTAGGACTGTACTTCTATCCAATGAGACCTATATACCTACAAAGTTTCATGTTAATATCTCTTATAGTCTTAGAGTTATAAATTAGTCTTTTTATCAATGAAAACATATATACCGGTATTGTTGTTGTTTTTCTATAAAACAGATACAAATTAAAATTTAACCTTAATCAGCCGTATTTTTCAAAGAAGACTGTAAACTGATGTTATTGTTTTGTGATTGTGTCAAGAATATGATAAAGTTTAATAATGTAAAGTTGTAGATGACTTTTGAAACATTGTCAATTATACATCT